GGCATTAGAGATGGGCAAGAAATAATATAACTTCAAAGATAGACCACGTAAGAAAAGAGCAAATAAATGAGCAATGGAATGGAGCAGAATAGATGGTCAAAAAACATCTGCAATTGGGTCCCTCCAAAAAGAAAGCAAAGAGGAAGACTACCACCACCAGTGTGGAATACACCTCCCCAAAAGTAGTTGGCTCATCGTTGGCTAACTTTGGCAGTTGTATTATATTCGATTTTATTAAAGAGAATAGTACCTTAGATTTGAGAAAAATAGACATGTGGTTAGCACTAGCAGTGTTAAAATACGTGTTCAGTGCCAATTTAATTTGAATGTTGTTTAATTATCCACAATTAACCCATTTGATTGATTAAAGGTCAATCCCATTAGGTTCATGCGTGATGCGATACGCGTGGAACGCGATAGTTTATCAGACCGGCGTATTTTTCTTTTGTAAACAACGCTAGCTGTTCGGGAAACTTGGTTTCGCAGGTAATTTGTTACCTAACTGGGCTTGGGCGTAACGAGAGAGCTCCCGTAAATATTTGCGTTTGTCATTTGATATGCATTGAATTCGGATTCGAATCGAGTGGCTGGTATATTAACAGATAAAAATAACCATTACTATCTACTCCAACGTTATTTAAAATGAACGCTACGAATGATTTGCAGGACTAACAGCACAATAGGAAAATTTTTAAAAAACAATAAAACGAAATGTCGAAAATCTCAAAAATGAAATGCGGATCTTGTCCTAAAATTTTTATTTTTTTTTATTTATTTTTATTTATTTAGATTCTAATTATGGTACAAACTTAAACACAGAAAAACACATTTTTGACGATAATTTAGATAGAATAAAATGAAACATTCAAATGTATTGCTTAACGTTCAATTAGATTTAAATACCTCTCCATTATTAAACTTAATTTAATTTAACTTAATTAACACCATTAATTAAGGTTTTATGGTCATTTTTTGTTTGTTGTTTGTTGTTTGTTGTTGTTTGTGTAGTTTGTAGATAAAGACACGGTGTTGTCGAAACAATTGTCATGTGAAAATATATAATTTCTTGAAAATCTGAACTTTTAGTTCTTATTTATTTTGAAAAAAAAATGGCATTTGAAGATAGGCATAAACCTACAGTCAAAATACTCATATTTGTTTAGTATAAATACATACCTACTTAGTACCATTTGGAGAAAGAAAGTACCAAACGAATTATATGCAAGCCGATCTTTGACCCAATGTGCACTTAGGGATCAATAAGACTGAAAATCATGGATTAGAAATGAGAAAATATTAAAGAAAATGGGCTTAAGTCTCTGCATTCTGATTACCATCGAAACATCTCCAGGGAATGGATGAGGAAAGAAAACTTAAAGTTGGGTTCCTCGAAAAAGAAAAAAAAAAGGGGAACACCATCGAGAGGCTGGATATACGCTTAGTTTTCAAAAGACTTAAACGAAGACGATAATAGAGATAAGCTTGTGTCCCAAATAGCTGTTAAATAGCGCCACTCTATAGCGCTGTAAGATTTATTGCACAAAAGTATAATTTGCGCCTTAATTATCAATTCCCACCAAGCAATTAGTAGCAGGTAGTTTGTAGATATTACATTTGATAAATACACGGTATTGTCGAAACAATTGTCATGTGAAAATATATAATTTCGTGAAAGTCTGAAACTTTAGTTCTTATTTATTTGGTCAAATGGATTTGCAACAAGTAAAAGCCCCCTCAGTTCAATGATTTGCATTCACGCAAATCGACAATAGTCACACAAGTTATATTTAAAAAAGTGTTAAGTACTTGATGCTAAATAAATTGAAATCCAAAATTATTAAAAGATATGTTCCTTTTCAAGTTAGTGACATTACGTCTATTAGCTTTGAGAAAATTAGGGAACAAATTAATTATTAATGATAATTTGAGTCTTCAAACAATAGTTAGTCATTTTTAAATTAAACGTATAAATCAGAGTCTTGAAGACGAAGTGACCTTTTGTTCAATTAGTAAAGCACCACAGCCTACTACTAAAACGAGAGTAACAATTTTTAAGGATTTGTGATTCTGCTTAAGGCAGTCTGTTCTATCTTGCAATATCACTGTAAATAAATAAAATAGAGGGAGAACAAAAAAAATTCTAGGTAAAGTGCCCTCTAGTGACAGATTTCTGAAACATTTCTATTTTGCAATGATGCATTAAGGAGAGAAGCTATAACTTACGATTTGGAATTTTTGTTACGTGACTTACACACCATTTTACCTAGTTGAATCTTTCTTCCAAGTTTCCGAACTCCATTTCCGAACCGCCTGGAAATCGCAAAAAATGCGTCATTTAATTAGTTAAAAATATACAGATAGTGTTCCCTTTAAAAGGGTATTTGCCTCCTAACTGCAAAAAAAACTGCTCAACCCTTTTTAAAAATAAGCACGATACCCATCGAAAATAAACACTTTTCATCTTCGTTATTGACGGTGTCGGTCGGTATTAGTTGCAAATATCAACGCCTTCTCCCCATCCGCCGATAACCGACTTAATAATTCAAACGGACGGGGGTAAACGGTAACCGCAAAAACCACAGCGGTCTGGTTAATTTTTCAACCGTTAGAGGGCGATTTTTCCCAACAAATTCACGAACGCAACGAAACAAAACAAAAACTTTTCTATCGTCCAAGTAGGCCGCGGGGAATTTGTATTAATGTTACGTATACGTTGTCGGTGGGGAGAGATAATTTCGCTCGAGGGAGCGCGTTTTGCTATTCATTTATGACGCTTTTTCATCCGGACTGTCTGCCGAACCTGAAAAAATTTTGTCCCTTTTTTTTTTCGCGTGACTTGACGTTTTTCGTGACCCCATTATCGGCTACGGGGAGATTTGGAGTAGGCTAAGTTAAGTGAAAATGTGAGGTTAAATTAAGGAGAGTTAGTCGAGTTATACGGTAAGTATAAAGTATAAAGATAAACATAAAAGTTGCTCTATTATCGTACGCAAATGTCAGAAAAAACAAACGTCAACAAGCTGTCAAAATTACAACAGCATCTTTTTTCAGTTTAAAATGTTCTACTTTTGACAACTAATCAAAATTAAAGATCTGCAGCGTAAGTTAAATAAATTAAGATATTTCAAATATGTTATACTGACTAAGAAAAACGACAAACAATAAAAATATTAATAATTAATGCTAAATATTTTCCACATAACCTCCATTATTTTCTATACATCGAATAATATTTCCTTTCAATTTCTTATTAATACACAAGGTGATAAAATCACTGTTTAAATCTTGGAAAACAATATTAAGTCCTTCTCTTATCATTTGTAAATTTTCAGGCCTATTATATAACTTTAATTTTTTAAGTCTCCCCAAAAAAAAGTCACAAGGATTCAGGTCGGGTCTGTTGGGAGGCCATTTGATAGTTCCTCGCCTACCTATCTAAAACCTATATTTATTATTTATTATTATTTATAAAATTAAATTTAAACAATTCCTAACTGGCACATTTTCTCACAATTGTTCTATTTCCGCTACAAGGAAATTTAAATATCTTTGGCCATTCAAGGATCCTTTGTATATAATTGGTCCAACCACCATATTGTTCAACATACCATGTAGGTTTTTTTGTGTGGACCAAAAATGTTTATTCTTTCTATTGCACCTGCTGTTTTGAACGAAGCCTCATCCGTAAATATTATTTTGTTTAGAAAATTTCCATTTTCTTGAGATCTTCTATACATTTCATTGCAACATTCGAGCTTCTGTGCCTTTTATGTCCATCTATGAAATTTTGCACTGGAAGGAACTTATAAGGGTGCAATTTGTTACATTTTGGGGTTCGTTGAATTTTACTTTAGGACTTTCCGGATAATTTTTTAATGTTCAGATATAGAATATTCAGGATTTTGTAAGGAATATGAAATATATATAATAATTTTCCTTGAAAGTAAAGTTATATATTAAGGTGTTCATCAAAATGTCTTTCTATTGTCCTAGTCTTCTTTTAATTGCTTTTATTTCTACCCGGATATTACTTGTCTATATTCTCTTTTAATCCTTGCAACGTTATGACCGTTTGAATAATATAATTTTATTATTTGGCATTTTTCTTCCTCAGTTTAACCTATTTGAAATATTTTACGCCGCAGATCCTTTTTTTTTATTAGTTGTCTAAAGTTCTTTAAACAAATGGTGGCTATCAAGGCAGACTTGACACCATTTTTAAACAATATGGCTATTGTCCAGAAATCGAATGATAATTATTTTTAAACTGAAATATCTTAAAAACGGCTTAATGAAATGTCAATAAGCTATATGTTTTTGAAATCAGGAAAAAGGGACCTACGATTTAAGCTAATAATATATAAGGAATTGCATTAAAAAAAATGATGTTGCTGTCAATTTGACATATTGCGATCATCGTTTGTTTTTTCTGACATTTCCATTTAGATAATAGAGCAAGAATCTTTATACTTTTGTATTAAAACCTACTGCCAATGATCGAATGCGTAGCTTTTCAGCGTTGGAGCGCTCAATCAATAAACACACAAGCACTTAAAATTTGATTGCCTTCACGAAATCATATTTATACGTTCGTTTGGATTTTATTGTATGAATTAACATGATTACCCTTGTTTAATATATCATAAAGTATTCAACTTGCAAGGAGTTGGCAATATTTGCTATAAAAGACCCTTTATTATGCCGTTTAAACTCGCCTTTCACTAACTTATGTATTGTATATTTTGAAAATTAATTCTGGTTACTTTTTTATTGATTAATCATTTCGAGAACGGAGCAAATGTCGCTTTTCCCGCACTTTCCGCATCGCGCTATCCAACCCTGCTCCGTCCTCTCAAGGTTCACAAACCTACGCGTCACCTATATAGAGCCCAGTTTCTAAATTAGCCGAAACTTCATTATTTACTCGTTCTCCATTCATCGCACACACTCTTTGACGTCCTTTTACGGCACAAAGAGCAACCCCCCCTTCCCAAACTTACCCAGTAAGTAATCAATCTGATTCGGGTTAATTTTGTCAAGTTGGCCTTTGTTCCAAACGTAGTCTGTTTTTAAACCTCGTTTCCTTTTGTCCCGCATCCAGTCGTCGATGAGATTGCGTCCGTCCAGACGTCTGCCTTCTTCTTTTACTTGCTCGGGATCGTGGGCCACTTTCGGAAGCCAGTGGCGGCGGCCGCCGCCCAGCAGCACCTGAAACGGCAACGAAAAGAACGTTATTCTTGAGAGATGCCATGCCGTGACGTATGAATCATGCTGTAAAGGTTCACTCTCAACCCTCAAGTGCTCAAGTACGACACATTGGGGTATTAATATCGAATACTCCACTGTACAACAGCCAACGCTTCGTTTAGAACTGTGTACGAAACAACGGAACATTCCTTCGATGACTATCTGAAATTACTTTCAAAATAAACGCGAATAAAACAGACCCAAGCGCGGACTCGTCAAACATCTTCTTTAACTTTAAAAGCAATTTAATTCTAGAAAATAGTGTGCTGTCTCCTGAATTTATAGTAAACTCACTGAACAGCTTTCTCTCATCTAAAAACGGTCTAGCTACGAAATTTTTTATTCGACCTCTGCCAGCCAACTTGAGCGAAACATCCGAAGTGATCGGGGACATCGCACGCAATCAAAGGATGAATACTGATTGCGAATTAGTTAACAGACGTGCCGGAAATCCGTGCCAAATCAGATTTCCGGAGTTTAATGTTCCATTGAGTGATCGAAGGACGAGATAATGACATTCAGGTTCACATTACGAGAACGGTCGCCGTATGGGATGAACAGAAAATTATTCTGGGAGCCTGAAGTAGAACACATACGACACGTCAAAGGGCTAAATATGATAAAGTTCCATGATCCGTGACGACATGAGGGGCAAAATGTAATTCTTCATTTCTTCATGAAACAAGGTATATTTAATGAATATTTTGAGGTCTTGCCTTTATCAAAATAAATAAGAACTAAAAGCTCGGATTTTCACGAAATTATATATTTTCACATGACAATTGTTTGTAATATACAAATGTAAAATTTACAAACTACCTGCTACTATATATACCGAAAAATAACCATAAAACCTTAATTAATGTTGTAAGAATTACGGTAAGAACTACGGTGGTCATGAACACAAATGAATATTAGGAAAAGATTCAACATATTGTCACAGACGGATCATATTGAACCTCCTCGACCTATTGTCAGCACTATTGGTTCTCCAACATATTTTCTAGAAAAATATCTAACTTCCATATTAAAACCATTTACAGGGAAAACTGACAGTTTCGTACTTAATTCCTTTCACTTCGTTGAACAAATAAAAAGCATTACATTAGATGCACAAGATATTCTGGTTAGTTTCGACGTAGAATCCGTCTTGACTAAAGTCCTTATTCCTGAAACTCTCAAGGAATGTCTCATTTTGTTACTCTCCATGGCTTCCAATAAATTTAATTTTCTACTTTTTGTGGCTGTATGTAAAATATCAAAATTGTCGTCAAAAATGTGTTTTTTTATGATTAAGTTTGCAGCATAATTAGAATCTAAACCGGTTTATCCAATATACATTTTAGGACAAGATCCGCATTTCAACCTGAAGACACCTGATTTTTGAGATTTTGGACATTTCGTTTTATTGTTTTTTAAAAATTTTCCTAATTTGTTGTAATTTCTGAAAGCTATTTTTAAACCACATTTTGGTCTAAAGATACTATTAAGCATCTAATAAATCTTGTTTCAACAATGGGTCAACTTGTTTTCGAGTTAGGGTGAAATCTACTAAATCTATCACATCCATAGTTGGAATACTGGGAAATAAGTTTTGTGCCTTAAAAGACAATAGTGTTGCCTTAGAAGTGATTTTGATATCTTTAATTTTGTTGATTAATGAAAAAGAATTTGTTATTGCAAATTTTGGTTTAAAATTTGTGTGGAACTTTAAAGTATTTACTAATTTTGTCGAGAGTTTAACTGCTGGAACAGTTACATAAGACACGACTGGTTTAATGGGCATATCTTGTATATGTAGTTTAACTAAAGAATATAATTTCGGCGGTTGTGGATTCATAATTGTTAAAATATAATAGCTTAAAGGCTTTAGACCAAAATTATTTTGAATTTAACTTGCAGTTTTACATCTCTAAGGAAGGTCTGAATATAGGAAACCCACTTAGTCCTTTGTTAGTCGAGATTTTTATGGATAATTTGGAAAATATCATACTAGAACATCCTTTAAGTAAAAGTTTTCTATGGTGGTATAGATACGTGGATGATGTATTTGCTTACTTTGTTGGAACGGACAGACCATTGAATTATTTTTTAAATTACATTAACTCATTTGATAATCGTATAAAATTCACTATCGAGATTGAACAGAATAACTCTATTAATTTTTTAGACTTAACTATTACGAAAGTGCAAAACAAATTAGATTTTTCAATATATCATAAACCTTTACACACGGACACAGTCATACATAACAGCTCAAATCACCCTTATATACACAAAATGGCTGCATTTAACTCTTTTATACAAAGACTTCTTAATATGCCACTCTCAACAGAAAATTGCAACAAAGAACTTAATATCATTAAACAAATAGCACTGAACAACGGCTACAATCCGTCCATTATAGATACAATGATAAATAAAAAACAAATCCAGACAACAGTGAACTCTATTTATCCGAGACCTAATACTGAACACGAACAATTTAAAACACTTACATATATAGCAGAACTTAGTGAAAAAGTTTTAAAACATTTGTCAAAATGTGGTTTAAAAATAGCTTTCAGAACTAACAACACATTAGGACAATTTTTAAAAAACAATAAAACGAAATGTCCAAAATCTCAAAAATCAGGTGTCTACAGGTTGAAATGCAGATCTTGTCCTAAAATTTATATTGAACAAACAATAGTCTAGATTCTCATTATGCTACACACTTAAACACAGAAAAACACATTTTTGACGACAATTTTGATATTTTACATACAGCCACAAAATTAATGAAGGTTTTATGGTTACTTTTCGGTATATATAGTAGCAGGTAGGTTGTAAATATTACATTTGATAAAGAGACGGTGTTGTTGAAATAATTCTCATGTGAAAATATATCATTTCGTGAAAATCTGAACTTTTAGTTCTTATTTATTTTGATAGATGGATTTTCATGAAGTAAAAGCCGCCTTAGTTCAAGTCTTGCCTTTAGGTTAAAACTAACGAATCACGTTTAGTGCTTCGTTGAGGAATATGTGGTGTATGATCAACAAAAGTATTGTTGGATCAACAACTAAATGTCAAATGATCCCACAGCCTATAATCTCACGATGATCGTAAAATAATTCTCGATTTTTATGAAATTACATGTGCCTAGTGGGCATTTTGAAGTATAAATAAACAGAAAATTAATATAATGAGTATCATAACCTGCCAAGTTATGTAGCTTGACATGGATAATATTTTCCGTATTTATTTTTTGTCTTCGTAGAGATTAAAAATTAAGCTATACTCAATCCTTATATTTTGGCACAAAGGCTTGAAAATTTTTGTGGACAATAAATCTCCACCGCGCGGCATGAGTTATGCCGTTCGCAAACTGCTTCGTAAGTGTGAATCGGGATTAACAGGAGTTTGGGAAAAAATAAAAGAGATACGTCCACATTATCGGCGATAAATTTTAACGTCTCATTAAAGTTTAATAATAAAAGGGCGTGAGGATTTATTTTCCCGAAGAAAGTTTGTCGACGTTTTGATTTACGCCACACTCGAAGTTTTTTTGTCTGTGAAACTTACTTCAAGGGAGTCAGATACACTGGGCCATGTTATTCTTTGATGTATCTAAAAATATCGACGATTCGTTAGTTCATTCGCGCCCGCAGAGAGAGTTTAATTTGTATCCACTTGAAGTGGGTTAATGAGGGCCGGAATACGTATAGAAACGGCCATTAATACGGATTAAAAGTTCATATCTGGCATTAGCGGGGGAATTATTCCGCTGCAAAACTGCCCTCGGTTGGATATAAATCGATATGAGAGTAACGTGGCGTAGGAACGGAAAAATAGCAGTCATGAGAAGCGCGAAAGGCTTAAAAAAACGATACGAGAATAGAAATTATGCAACAAGTGCGGTAAACGGCATTTGACTCACGCGTATGTTAACCGAACGTGTCCGAAGTGGCTCTGATTCGTGGAAAATGAAACTGAAGTGGTAAAGTGACACTTCCCGCACGCCATATCGGTGCGTAATTAGGCATTTTACAGACGGGAGTAGAAAAAATAAATTTTTGGTTAGATGGAAAAATATAATAAAAAGAAAGTGTTTGACGCATTGCGAAAAAAATTTTTCCGCAAAACCTATTAACGTGAAATTTATGTTTTTTAATCCACACTCGACATCACAACCAATATTTTCGCTATTCTTACGCTAGCCCGGACAAAATATCGGCCCTTCCGGAGCAATCGACAATATTTACAGACTTTGTCAAAATATTTACGCTATTATCGGACAAGCGCGTAACAAATTTACAGTACGCTTTGTTACCGATCGCGCAAAATTACGACAGCCTCTTCTCCCACGTCGATAAATTGCACGTGCAATCGCCTCCCCCCTCCCCCTCTAGAGCAAACATGCCCGAATTAAAGGGAATTACAAATCGGGTCCTTAATTTGAAATTAATTTCAACGCTACACGGTCGCGGGATTGTCTTTAGCGAACCCGCGATTTATCGAGGTTTCACGAATCCCGTTATTACTCGTTTAAAATGTTAGTGGCTGGTCATTAATCAAAGTTTCAGTCAATGCGGAGAGAACGACAGTTAAATTGATTAGCTTGATAACTACGCAAAACGTTGTCGGAGAAGATGTCCTTGATTTCTATAACGAATGTAACGCTGCGAATGTAAAACGCTGTACATTCGCAGTGCAATGAAAATGTAATGCTATATGTAAGCTCTTACTTGGTTACTCACGAACATTTTTGTTTATTATATAGTTCAGAGGATGTCCTTGATTTCTCCATCGAATGTAATGCTGGGTAAACCTAGTGTAAGACGCTGTACATTCGCAGAGCAATGAAAATTTAATGTCATTTGTAAGCTCATACTGGGTTACTCACTAACGTTTTTGTTTATTTTATAGTTAAATTGAATCCTCTTACTTGTTAAAAAATTGAATAGCTTCATAACTGC